AAGACTTTTCTCTTAGCCCAAAAGAAGACAAAAAGCAAAGGAAAAAAAGGTTAGGAAAAAATTAGGCCTAAATCCAAAGCTAAATGCACATCTGTAAACATCAGAATTCAAAGGAAAAGGAAAGGGGGCCAGGGAGATAGATCAGTAGAATAAGCGCTTGCCTGGCAAGCACAAGGCCCTGAGTTCAATCCCCAGTACCACAAAAAAAAAAAAAAAAAAAAAAAGGGAAAATAAAAAGCATTGAGATGTGTTATGTACATAAACCACCTCTCTACAATGAATGTAATCATGTGTGGCAAATGTGCTAATAAAAAGTTTTAAATGAATTTAAAAATAAAAGCAAGGTGTGGTGATGCATGCCTATAATCCCACCTACACAAAAGGCTGAAACAAGAAGATCTCAAATTCAAGCCCAGCCCGGATAACAGGAACTTAGTGAGACCTGTCTCAAGAAGTAAAGAGCTGGGATAGTAGCTCAGTGCTAGGTGACTATGGATTCCATCCCCAGTGCCATAGTTAACCAAAGCAAAATACCTAGAAAAATTAAAAATATTGGAAGACACCTTTGTTGCTCAGTAAAACTTCTGGGATTTTACCCTACTTGCAGTTACCCATTTAGTAGTGTACAGCAGAAATACCAGAAAGCTTGATGAGAAATCCAGTTGATTTCTCCACATCAGCAAAAGCAGGCAGAACCCTGAATCATTAGCATCCCATGTTTCCATCTTACAGGGACTGTGAAGAAAGCCAGATACCGTGCCTGTAATTCCAGCACTCAGGGGGCTGAGGCAGGAGGATCACTGAGTTTGAGGCCTACCTGGGATACAAGGTGAGTTCAAGGCCAGCCTGAACTGCATAGTGAGACTCTGACTCAAAAAGACCAAAAAATAAAGCTAGATATCATTAACCTCCATGAATGGCAGTGCTGTCTACAGGAGAACTTTGAAAAAGGGTTTTCCCCCTTCCACAGAGGCTCAAAGATACACCCCATTTCCCAAGGGGAAAGACTCATGAGTACTCACTTTTTAAAATATTAATAAACCTTAGAGGGAATACAATGCCTCTGGGTAGTGTAGGTTGTCCTCTCCTTTGAAATACAGTCACCCAGGAAGACAGTGACCAGAATCCCCTTTCCATTGAGCTCCTTCCTTCTTCTGGAGTATAGACATTATTTAGCTCCTAATAGGTTATTCTTTGGATGGCAGCAATTAGCTTCATCATTATGAGATAAATGGCTCCAGATCTACAGACATTTGGGGTGGGAAAACCTCACATTTCTGGAAAAATGAAAGCAGTGTCTTCCATCACAGTGCACAGAGCTCTGGAGGTCTGGGCTTGGAGGAGACTGAGAAACTCATCAAAGACACATCTTTTCAGAACTGCCAAGTACCAGGGGGTGCGACAGGTCCGCTAGGTGAGGTGGAATGCTCACCTAACCTAGCAGACACAAGGCCTGGGTTTGCTCCCCAGAACTACAAAAAGCTTCAGGAGCAAGTAAATACCAACAGGTCAAAAAAGACATCGCCATTTAGAAGACAGTTTCAAATGATAATAAAATTGCAGAATATCAAAATCTGTCTCAAAAAAAATCTGTCTCGGGCTGGTGAGATGGCTCAGTGGTCTAAAGCACCTACTTAGAACAAGCTTAGCAAAGCACAGGGTCCGCGGTTCAATCCCCCAGCACCACATGCCAGCCAGCCTCGCCCCCTGGTGGGCTGAGCTGGCCACACACACACAAAATAAATAAATAAATATTTTTTAAAAAATCTGTCTCATGTAGCTAATGAATACAGGAACACTTAAAACTTCAAATGAAGTTAGGAAGGAACTAATAGCAATAAAAGTTTTCTATGTTTTAATACACATTTGAGAAGCAGGTTAGCTTTATATATTTTAATATAGAAAAACAGTACAGAGTAACAGAGCCAAACATTTTTCAGTGAGTAATTTAAAATCCCTTGTAAGATCAACACATGAACAAAATCATAAATTACAGCCTAGCCCAGGTCCGGTGAGTGTGCGGAGAGTTTCCTGCTACCCTGCGC